GACCGGTGCAGATGATGTTCAAGACGGCACGTTTTAACATGACCTACATTGGGGACTTCCAGACCAAAATCCTTGAGCTCCCGTATGTGGGTAATGAACTGAGCATGATCATCCTGCTCCCTGATTCAATCCAGGATGGATCCACAGGCTTGGAAAAAGTAAGTAGTTGAGCTGAGTGCAAAGACAGCCTGAATCCTTGCAGGGAAGAAAGTCTGAATTTTCCCCCTGCCACCTATGCCAGACTTGTGGAGGCAGGTGAGCCTACCAAGGCTTTCCCTTGGAGGAATGTACATTGAGGGAGCTGTGATAAGCTTATCTCAACCCTCTCCTGGAGAAATACCTCTCCATCCTCTCTTCTCATGGTGAGCTATCCCACCATACTTTGGTGACTATGCTGATCTATAGTAGCCCATTGGTTTTTTCCCCCCTGGTACCACCCTGGCTTTCCCCCATGAAAGCCGCAGCTTCTGCCCAGTTCAGAAGGGAGGTGCTGTCCCTTGCCACCCTTGACAGAGCTGCTGGACAATAAAAGCTGTCTCTGTGCAATCGCCACACAGCTCTCCTGTCTCTCTACCTCTGAGTCAGCCTGGGATAATCTAGTGAGCAGACCTGAAATCACTTGCAGCCACTGGCTGCCCCTTGCTGAGGTTACCCAGTGGCCAGGGGTCACCAGAGACCCCTGTGGGACCGCTCTCGCTGGGAAAGCCGCGGCATCCCGGGTCAGACCACTGGACCTGGCCTGGCCACCACACAGGCTGTGTGCTGCTCCCGTAGCCAGAGGCTCTGGAAGAAGAGCTGGCCCTGCTCAGGAGCAGAGGTCAGCTGTGGTTGTGGTGAAGGCACAGTGTGGTGATGATGAAATGTGGAGAGGGGGATTTTTGGTGGGTTCTTTGCAAGTCCAGTAGCTTGTCCTGTAGATCTCCTGTGCTGAGCAGGTGGAATGTGGCTCACTGCCTGGAGAGAGGGTCACAGGAAAGGGCAGCATCTCTTTGTGGTGAGGGTAGGTTGCAAGTTTGGGCTCTTTGGCACTCTGGGCAAGGAGATTATTGATAAAGTTCTCTAAGACTGATGGCAAAGGGTGTTTGTGAGCACACTGTTTCCATGATGCTGCTGACTGACCTGAAGGATGACCATTTGGTAAAGAAATAGAAGAAGTTGGTTTGGTTTCTTTGGGTCCTTGTTAGCTATTCTTCTACATTTTCTTTCCCATAAGTAAAAATTAAAAAGCCCAAACAATTTAAGATAAAACAGAAGTAAACTTGATATGGAGGGGATTGATCCCTATTATAGCTACCAAAAAAAATAATTTTGGTAAAGATCTTGGCAGGAGCAGTATTCTCAAGTGAGAGGTATAACTTGCAGTTTTGGCTTGAGGCACACTAAGAAGGTTAAAAAGCTGCATCTTATGCACTGTGTAAGTAACCCCATAGTCAGTTATTTTGCTTGTATAACACTGACCCAATTCTCACTGTAATTAAGTAAATTTGGATTTTTTTCTTCAGCTGGAAAGAGAACTCACATATGAGAAGCTAATAGATTGGATCAATCCAGAAATGATGGACTCTACAAAGGTGCGGGTGTCTTTACCCAGATTTAAACTGGAAGAAAATTATGATCTGAAACCCCTTCTGAGGAGCATGGGAATGCTGGATGCATTTGATTCAGGGAAGGCAGACTTTTCAGGAATTTCATCTGGCAATGAGCTGGTGCTCTCTGAAGTGGTTCACAAGTCCTTTGTGGAAGTCAATGAAGAAGGCACTGAAGCAGCTGCTGCCACAGCTGCAGTGATGATGATGCGCTGTGCAATGAGAGTTCCGGAATTCACTGCAGATCATCCCTTCCTCTTCTTCATCCGGCACAACAAAACTCGCAGCATTTTGTTTTGTGGCAGATTTTGCTGTCCCTAAGGAGGAGGTGTCTTGGCAGCATTGCACTTACTGTGCCATGACACAATAAATTTACATTTCCCTGGAACAAGATGACTCCTTTTGCACTAATTGTCTCTTTCAGCTGTGCCTGAGCCCTCTTTTGTGGCCTTGATCTTGGGCTTGGCAGGAGTAACAGAGCTGCTTAGACAAGCGCAGCACCTGCCATGGCCAACCCCTCCTGTGCCTGGCTGCAGAGATCTCCAGGTTCTTGCTGACACAAGAACCATCCCACTTGCTCTGTGGGTGCTTCTTCTGTGCTTGACCCAACTTTGGGTGTCCAGCAGGCAGAGTCAGAGCCCGTGGGAGAGAAGAAGTTCCTCTTGCTTGTGGCAAGGCTGGAGCACATTTTTAGTTGTCCTCCCCTTTTACCTTCTAGTCTCATCCCTTTAGTGCCTGGATCCATTGCCTGGAGCTGAAGGGATTGTTTGGCAGCCTGTTCCAGGTATTGCTGAGTATCCTGCCTAGATGTGTGTGTTTGGCTAATAACTGGAGAAGCACTTCGGCAAGAATGGGAATGAAAGTTAGCTTTTGTAGAAGATGTCCCTGAGAGGTTTTTGCAGGGCAAGTATCCTTGTTTCATCAGCCCAGGACACCAGCTGTCACCTAGTTCAGGTCCTTTAACAAAGAATGTAACATAATGGTGCATGGTGCCTATGCAATATTTGAATGACAAAGCTTTGACTTCAGTTTTTGTTTTTTCGGTATTGTTACGTATTTATCCTGTCACTATTTTCTTAGGCAGCAGAGTTTAGCTGTCTAATACCAAAGCCAGAGCTGCAGCTGCTTTCCTTACACTGGGATGTGCTTGGTGGGTCCTGTTCCTGGAATAATAAAAGAAGTGCCAGCGCCGCATGGGTGTTTTTGTCCCTTTTCAATCCTCGCTGGCATTTGTCAGGCTGTGGCAGGAGGCGGAGGCCTGTGCCGAGCCCGGCGGGGTTGGGTGAGGCCGGCCCGCCCCAGGCGGGCGCTGTCGCCGCGGTTGTCGCCGGGCGGGCGGGAGGGGAGCGGGGCAGCCTCCGCCTGTCCCCGCCCGCGGGGCATCCCCGGGCCTGGGGCGGTGTCGGGGAGCGAGGTGGGAATCTTGGCTCGGCTCCGGGAGCCGCAGCGCTTCTCGGGCAGCGTGGGCTGCGGGCCCTGAAGGGGTTTGGGTGCAAGGCTTGCGCGGGTGGCGTGAGGAGAGGAGAGGGAAGGCGCGCCCCGGGCTATTGCTTTAGATGTTGGGTCGGGAGGTGCCGGTGTTTTCTTTAGCGTAGAGCTGGGTAAGAGAACAGGCAAAGCTGCCGTGCCGCTTGTGTGTCTTCCGGACAGAGCTGACCGCGCTGTTTGGAATTTCTGTGGGCGGTCCGTGCATGAAATGCGTAAATTCTGATGCAGACTCCTCCTCTGCTTGCATTTGGACCTTCAAGGAAGCAGGAAAGCTGTCGGTTCTGCTTTCAGCGGTGCGGGGAAAGCTGCTGTGTGAGTGAAATGTGTGGAGTGTACAGGGTCCGTGATTCTGAAGAAATTTGATGTGGGTTTGCCAGGACAAATCCTTCCGTCTTCGTGTTATAATGCAAAGATATATTTTTTTTTTTTTTAATATAGTGTCATTAACTTGGAGTAATCTGTAACTTTATTAATGATGTGGCTGATACGTGATTGGTGTGGTTTGGGTTATTAGTTTGTTTGTTTGGAATTCCTGTTGAGTGTTTTTTCGGTTTGGTTGGGGAATTTTTTTTTTATTTTTTGGTATGAGAATGGTTGCAGTGACAATGAAATTCTTGCTAGTCTTCTTGCTTTTAGGCCAATTCATTCTGCTGGCTTCTCCCAGCCTGACTGGCAGGTTTAAAACCCACTGTACACACATAGAAGCAAGCTGCAGGTACCACTGAAGGTCTGTAGACTTACAGAAGGTAAGAGTTGGTAATTCTACTGTTCTCTAGGTTTCTAAGTTTGGCTCTGTTTACCCTAAAAGGGAAATGATTTTCTGTGTGAAGTCAAGAGAAACTTCTTTCAGGAAGTGGTGAACAAAATGCTACTGTGCCTGATCTCCTTAAAAGATGTCACAGTGGGATTGAAATCCAGTAGCAGTCTCTAATTGGCTGCACTAATTGGAATTTGTAGTATGGGATCTCAGGTGCTTGTGGCACCGAATCAGTCTGCAGTGAGCTGATAATTTTCCAGCCTTTGCTGCCTAGTTTAAACGGGGAGGTTTAAAAGGGAGAAACAACTGTTTGGTAGCCAAGTAAATTTGATCTATTCTCATTCTGTGTTTTATGTCCCAGGCTCAGAAGCATGGAAAGCCTCTGTGCAGCCAACACCACTTTTGCAGTGGACCTGTTAAGGATGCTGTGTGAGAAGAAAAGTGGGCAGAACGTGTTCTTTTCGCCCTTTAGTATTTCTTCTGCTTTGTCCATGGTTTTGCTGGGTTCAAAAGGTAGCACTGAAGCCCAAATAAGCAAGGTAGGTCAAAATAAACTTGGTGCTTTGCATTGGATGGGAGCATATGGGGAAGAGTCTGTGACATGGACTTGTGCTCGACTGTGATTGTCACTGAGGTGTGGGAGAGCAGAGCACTTTGTCAGGTGTGTGTGTGTGTGTTATAAATCCATATTGTGATACTGGCTTTTGCAAGTATTAGGATGAATATTATATGTTAAATACTTTTTGGGTATGTATGTTCTTTTTCTCTTGCTAACAAGTTTTAAGCTTAAAGGAATTTTGTGGTACAAAGCAAGGAAACCCCAGAGGGCAAAGACAGTGGGCCCCAAGCTGTTATCAGTGGAAGGACAATGGAGACCAGGCTGTCACCAGTGGTAGGACGAGGGGCCCAGACTGTTATCAGCACTGACCGCTTGCAAAGAAAGGAAATCAAATTCAAATAAAATGATGATCAGCAAAAATAAAAACCATACGAAGAATGCTCTGAAGAGGCGGGTTTGGGGCGTAACCATGCCAAATGCTTCTTAGAAAGGTTTGAATATGCATTAAACCCTCACAGCAGGAGGGGATAAAAAAAATGTTGCAAAGATATCAGGTTTGTTCCTGGCAAGGTGCCAGGGGCACTCAGGCGTTTTAACCCTTTGCTTGATTTCCTTTGTCTCCTAATTGACATTTTGTTGATATTAATTTTTTTTATAATTTATTAAGAAAGGTGAATCTTGTTTTTTACATGTGTAAAGACAACCCATTTTCTTTGTTTTTGTAGTGTGAGCTTTGTTCGGTATGAAGTGCAGTGATTCCTGGGTTTAGTTTGTGGGTGGTTTTTATTGGGGATTTTGTGATTTATTTTATTTATAATATAATTAGGAGGTTCGTGGAGTTTTTTTGTTGATCAGTTGGTGGCTGTCGTTCCGATTGGGAACGGCTAGAAGAACGACACGGGACTCTCAAGGGAGTCACAACACGAGAATTCCCTAGTTTATTGCTTCAGCCCTGTCTTATAGACAGATACGTGGAAAAGTACAGAAAAGAAACTCTTATTGGTTAACAAAGTGCTACATCACCATCATTGGTCAGGGGTACTTTGCCCCCCTGACTCTCTCCTGCAAGGAGAAACAAGAAGCTGCAAAACAACACCTGCAAGGCTGTTTAGTGTCCCTGAGAATTGTTTTAATTCCTTCTCATATTTTTCCCAAGATACTTTCTCAGGCAGCTTGAAGAGCCATGCGGCCTGCAATTTGTACAGGCACTGTGGTTCAGATTTAGCATCCATAGGTGCACACAATTATGTTAGAAAAAATAAAAAAGGCAGTGTTTGTTATATTCTACTGGGCTCTTGTAGAATAGAGAACAAACACAGCTCAAGAGGTTTCTTTACTAGAACTTTGAATGGATGCTGATCTAGAATTAATTTAGAATTTTGGCTTATGTTT